TTAAAATGTTAAAATTAACTTAACTTTAACTTTTTAACTCGTTTATGCCCAGGCTTTTATATACTGCCGTTAAATATTGTTCGATATTTTGACAGTTGATAATTTTTAATAGATTAGACGCGTAATCGATTTCTTCTCTATTTATTATTAGTATAGAACACAAGAATAATATTATATCCGACACGCGTTGGTATTATCATCATTTCGATGCGATGTCAGTAAATTTATCTGCTGGTAAATTCCAATGATTAAAATTGAAAGTGCGGTGCAGATTACATATTCCATTTCGTTTTCCGTCGTGGCGCAAATTACAAGTAATTCAATTTCCGCAAAATAACATCTCCGGTGAGGTGCTATTTAAATAAAAATAAATGATTTTAAAAAAGTGTTTTGTTATACATTGTTTTCTTTTGATATGGCTTTTTTTTCATTTGGGGGCCCCTTTTAATAATTTCCTGATAGGCCAATAATGTCCTATATCCGCCCATGTAATGTTACAATCTCGTCGCTGATGTTCAAAACTTATTCTAGCACATATTCTTATTATGCCTTGATCATAGATTGTGTATTATCTAATAAAAATTAAAAAAAAAAAAAAAAATTATAATAATATATTTAGCAATCATAAGACAGTTGTTTTTGATTTTTGGGTTAATAATAAATATTGTGTAAAAATAAGGAAATAGGAAAAATTAATCGGTAATCAAAATGTTGTTACCCATGAGCGGAAAAATCTTAAATACGGCCATATAATAGGTCATTAATAGGGCCCTGGCGGAGGCTTCTCATGTTGTGCTCTAGGTTTTAGCACTCCCGTACATTTTACCCCAGTCTCGACCATGCCATAAGCATATTAAGGACGTTACACCCGCATGTGTCTCTCCGTCTTAAAAAATGTACAACATAGCAAAAACTGTTTTGAAAGAACCGAGAACTTTACAGCTATAACTAAGAAACGAAATTTTCATCAGATATAAAGGAGAACATTGGCTGTGCAATATCATTTTTATTTTTTCGTTATCGGAACTTCAACAAAAGTTATTAGAGTTTGAAACATACAAATAATAAAAACTTTTTTTTATAAGTGAAAAAAAAAATAAAAAATAATATTGCACAGCCAAAGTTCCCATTTATATCTGATGAAAATTTCGTTTCTTAGTTATGATTTTAGCCTTCTCGGTTCTTTCCTTCACCAAAACGTTTTTGCTATGACATACATGTGTAAGACGAAGACAACATGGTACCTACCTATTATGCGGGTGCGACGTCCTCTTAATGTCGTAAGCAGTAAGCACATACATTTTAAAAAAAAAAAAACAGTACCCAATACCATCGAACTATTTGCACATTAAATTATAATTTATAATAGACATTGCTATTTAGTATTTACTACTTATAGGTACCAGCTATAGTGATATAGACGCATATAGGTAGTGCATCGCTGGGTTATGCCAGTTTAGTCAGTATACTGCAGACTACTATTATATATAATATAATATAGGTAATACGCATATATAGGTACAACATATATATAGGTACAACATAATATAATACCTAAATATCCATTACAATAACCACTAGACACAAGTATATATTACAATTAATATATTATTGCATTATTTATGTATTATATGATCACGGAAGTTACTGAAAGAAATGCACGAAAATTAACACATAAGTATACCTACGATGTACCTACTGGCTACTATTACTTTTATAGTAAAATAATATGTAGGTACGTATATATATATACTATACTATACTATATATATAACTACTATTTATAGTCACTGTAATACTGTATTATACAGATATTAGCAAGTGCAAACTTTTAGTACCTACGACCTACCTATCTACCTAATTTACAAATATCGTTGTATAGGTAGAGATGGACATTTTATCGTAAATTTTTTAATACCATATAATATTTTTATTTAGTAAATTGAATACGAACTCAATAACATTTTTATAACTAAGCTCAAGCATTTAACCATATGTACCACTAGTCCACTCCTTACTACAATTAGTACAATTAGTATTATATATTTAGATATATTATCAGTATGCATTGTCCCACAAACGGGGGTGCCAGGAGGTGCTTAGCAACTCCAAACTTATTAGTTATATACTTATATTGGACTAAAAATATTGTTTAAAGTAAATCAGAGATGATGGTGTTAAAAATTGCCTTAGTAATAATTATTTGCTGGAAGATCTCATGTGCATGATATACATATAAGTAGGTAGGTATATTACTAGTTATATTTATATCATGTATTGTGGAGATATATGGATGTCACTATAGCGTTGTTAATTGTTATGCATATGAAAACAATTGAAATGAGTGGTCACTCTAATTTTAAAACGGTAGAAAATATTTACCGGCTACAAAAATTATTGGTCAAATTTACTTAAATTTACCTTATTTAGCTCCCATCTCTATGTATAGGTACTGTCATCTGCCTTAGCGTCTTCGCAATATAATATATTTTAGTAATATTAATAAGATATTGACCGACCTACATATTTTGTTTATTCATTGTTCATTTTTTTAGTAAATATAATCAAAGAGCTGTATATTGTGTAGGTATATATAATTACCCGGGGAATGGGAATACATTAATCCAAGACTATCATTCAACCGGCTTCAGATATTAATAATAATAATTACCAAACTATTTTTTCTTACGTAGGTATTACCAATTATTAGCATTTTGACTTACACAAACATTTACCAAGACGTTTAAAACTGGTCCCTGGGTAAATATAAAACATAAAATTGTTATAACATTAAGATTATTGTTTTTGTATAGAACAATTTTTATTTTTTACCATAAACATATAGGTTAGATCTAAACAATTAAATTTAATATTAATAATTTCAGCTGAACCGCCAAATAAATAATAATATTATTACCTATACAAAAATATTCACATATTAATTTATCGCTGTTGCCAGAAGTTAAAAATACTAAAATCAAAAAAGTTAATGAAGATAGTTATTACCTACTTATTTGAGAGGATATTATTATAGGTAGGTACCTACGTAGTATAGGTATAAGTTTTGCTTTACTATATAAGTTAGACTTGTTATATTTTTTAATACCTACATAAAGGCATTAAACACTGTACACAGTAGCGACAGTGGCGTAGACATGATTTTTGAAAGGGGGGATCAAAAAAATAAACGACAGGAGGGGAAAATTGTAAAATCCCCCATAATCTCAAAACTTTTTACTTAGGTTATAAAAAGCCAATGGGGGGATCTGACCCCCACATCAACCCTTGTCTACGCCACTGACTATATAATGATATTTATATCATTGAATTCAGTCGCGGATCTAGAAATGAAAAAATGAGGGGGGGATAAATGAAGAAATGTACGATTATCAATCACTCCTAAATGTAAATAAGCAATATAATGAAATATGTTTTAAGTATAGTATAACACTATTACTTCTTTAACCCCTTTAGTTAATAAACTGAAAATTAATGTAATCCTTAAATATTTTAGGTACCTAAGGCTGGGGGGGGGGATTCCGCCTGTTTGAATTAAAATTTAACACCTTTTATAGAAATGTAATATATTACAGTGACCCACTTTTTCTCCCTCATGCATTTCAATACCGGCCACCGGGAACTTTAAATTTTTACCCTGTACCTACGGCTGTGCCCCACTGCCCCGTATAATTCGGTGCCACTGAGTTCAAACATAATATTTTATGACCGTAGAGGCTTCAAAGATACACCAAATATTCATATAAGCTGTCCTCTTATATTATTATATTTTATATTTTATTATAATATTTATACTTTATATTACCTATATATACATCATAGGATATTATCTATGTTTATATATGTATATAGGTTGGGAAATGGTACCCAAATGATATTATACAATGTACAAGTATATAGGTACAGCTGTTGCAGAGATTGCTGATAGGTATAGCTCATAGGTACCTATTATATTAATTACAATTGGCGTTCATAATTGATCAAACGAACACACGATGTACCGTATACCTAGGTACTTAGTAATAGCTGGTTTATGGTGTGCGGCGTGCGAAGTATTTTTCATAATAGGTAGTGTACGCACGGAATGAACAATATACCTACCTAGGTAGACTTGTTTTATTCACGGACTAAGATATAATATCTTGGTCCGTGGTTTTATTGAATAAAAAAATTATGTTACATAATTAAACATCACCCACTTAGGTACATACATAGTTACTGCATGTCAACATACCACATACGGCATACCTACCTACCTGCCGATACCGTATGGCGTATACGACATAATATGCGCGCACTCACACACACACGCGCACGCGCACACTCACGCACACAGACACACAGGCACACATAGACACACACACTCAGGCGCGGGTCGGGTATGATTGTATGAATCAAGTGTGTCGGTGTGTGTATATTATTCACCAAATTCGAGTATACTGGTACGTCACATCAGAATGTATAATAGGTACCACCTATAATAATTTAAACTCGACGGTGTTTGCCTCCAAATATCGTCGAAAACCGCGCCTCCATTGCCTCTACATAGGTACTTGATAAACGGTGATAACATTAGATAATCAAAACGTGTAAATACACATACCTATATAGCCTTATTATTATTATTATTATATCGACTAGGCAGCTACTCATTGCAGATTAATTTTCAAAACATCAAAACAAAACCACCGTCGAATGCCGCGCGTCCTACGTCGGACGACGAAACGTCGTGTAGATTAATATTGTTTGCGTCGCGGACGAACGATACGTTTGGGCGCACGAACTATTATGTCAGTTTGTTCTCGGGCCGCTCGCGTTGTTTGTACAAGCAATATTTTCCGCCAACAAAATTGACATTTTTAGGTGGGTAAGTGATTTAAATATTTCACTAAGCCTTCGTCCCGCTTGGCCCTTCGATATTGTGTCCGATTGTCGCATTCTCGTTTCGTCCGTCGCAACGACAGTCATCTGTATTGAACATTATGAGCTCGGATATAAGTACCAGAAATCCCCAGGAAGAATACGAGCTGATTCAGAGGATCGGTAGCGGCACGTACGGTGATGTTTATAAAGTGAGATATGTTTGAATGCAATTTTGTGGTGAAAAAAGAATTCTGCCGTTGTTGACACTGGTTGATCTTATTAATTACAGGCAAAGCGAATTTCAACTCAGGGATTAGCAGCTATCAAGGTTATCAAATTAGAAGTCGGTAAGTGAAATTGCATTTAATGTTACTAATGTTTGACTTTTGGCAGACAGTTTCTGAACATTCCAGGTTTGGCCAACCAAAAATCGAGCCTGGCATGTCCGACTTTAGTATAATGTTTTGCTATATGTTTTATTCAATATTTGTTTGTTGTTTGTTTCTAATCAATATTTGATAAAAGAAATGTTTTAATGCCCAAAGTAGTTTTTAGCACATGAGCATATTATAGTAATTACATAAGTGTCTAATATTCATATTGCTAATTTTATTTATATTCTTAGGCGATGATTTTTCAATAATACAGCAAGAAATATTAATGATGCAAGATTGTCAACATTCCAATATTATAGAATATTATGGTAGCTATTTACGTAGGGACAAATTATGGATATGTATGGAGTATTGTTCTGGAGGTTCATTGCAAGACATTTATCACAGTGAGTATTCCTTTAAATACTTACGTACTTATATGAAGTGAAACTTCCATATAATGAAGTCTCATGGGAAAAACAAAACAAAAATATGTAATATAGAGGCATTTGTTAAATAGAATGTACGTATGATTAACAATGAAGGTCATGGTTCTCAAAAATAATTAGTTAAATGGAAGTTTCTATTTGAGTTTAGCCTATCTACCCATTCTACCCCTAACCTTACTGAAAATTATTTTAAATATTTTTTTGGTTTGAGTATCCTTATTTCAAGTATTACCTACTTGCATTAGTTTTTATTCATAATCAATTTATTTTGTTTTGTAAAAGCTCTAATTATTGTTTTTTAAAAGTTTTTTTATAAACATTAAATTGCATACTACATAGTATGTTTCAAGTTGAAGAATCTCTTGATTTTGGGTAAGAAATTTGAATTAGGTAGCAATAAATAAATACTTTTAATTTGTTATTTATTAGAAGTATATACTATTGCATAGACATAATTAGATCCGTAGAGGAATATATTATTCTTTCTTTCTTAAAATATTTTTAGTTTAATATTTGAGTGAATTTGACCCCACCTCTTATCCCATTTAAAGTTAAGAATGTTATCTAGGGCTTCTATTGATATCTATAGAGGTATTTATATTTCAGAGCAAATCATGAGCATTTTAAAATTGAATTATTTTACATATTATTTAGTTATGATTCACTTTCAAATTATAATATCAATAAAAGCCTATGAGATTCCTTAGATATTATTATTACATTTGAGCTTAATATGACCGATACAAATATTAGATGTGGTAATTATACTGTCCAGTAATTCCTCGAGTAATGCCAATGCTATAATAATTGTATACTTATACATATTTCATTTTTATATTATACCATTGTTGCATACCTACTTACAGTTAAATAAAAATACTTTAAATATTTCTAACTATAGCTATTAATTATTAAAGTAATTTACTAAAAGTCATATTAGTTATTAGTATATGTAAGGACAGAACAAGGTCAATTTATTCTAATACTAAGACTAGGTAAAAACCTAAAATTGGTTCTCCTGCACATAAATATACTATGTTGTCTGTTCAAAATATAGAGCCAACATAAGTATATTATGTGATATGCTGAAGACGTTAACTACTCAATTGCACACCTGTATAGAAGAATAAATCTAGAAAATAATTCCATCAGTTAGTATGAAATTATTTAAATTAAAATATTTTCAGTGTTCCTAATGAAAATTTAGCAGTCATAAAAATAAAAATAAATTCTTTGTACACTGTAAGAACTGCCTTTTCTGATTGTTCTTGGTTGATTTTCCTAATACTTCATACAATTTTGAAAAATTAATAACTTTGATTTCTGATCTTTAAAGATAGTGTGTTTAATTTTATCTGAGGAACTGTTACAGAAAATAATATATCAGGTGTTGATTAGCCCTTGATCGGGAATACACGAAGACATATAAAATACGGCACTATATAAGTGTTTCTCAATCCACAGGCAAATTGTTGTCAGTATAGTTCATTTTGTAAACTAATTCAACCAAGATGGGCAACCCCATAGAGCGTAGTATTGGATTCACCACTTGGTATATTTTTGAACTTGGATGAAATTAATTTCGAAATTGTCCTCGTTTTAAGAACAATCTGAAATTTTCATCAAAGTCGATCGAATAGTTTTTTAGTGTAATCTAGGTACAAACATATATCCATTTTAGATTCTGAGAGAAGCGAGGGATCTAGTGGTTTTACAATAGTGTTAATTTTTTTTTTTTTTATATATCCTGTATACTACATTTATACTAGAAGGAGTGCTTGGATTACAACATATAGTACCTTATCTTTTAGTAAATTGGATCAAGATAGTACTTTAGGGAGGTCATTTTTCGATTTTCTTAATAGTTATTTAATGTCACGGGAAAAACCACCCATAAATTACCAAAAACCGCTAAAATTGGGATTTTAATTTCTTGTTTGTTGAACAAAATTTCTAAGTTTTAAGAAATGTATATTGGTATTATCAATATGTACCTACAAGATAATGCAGTATGTGATGCTATATACTGATTATTGGCTATCTAATAAAAAAAAAATTGAACACAAAAATCTAAGACTTCAAATTACATCTTTATTTTAACCAAAATACCAATATTTTTATAAAAACAATTCACTCTCTGAGTAATCCATACAAAATAATATTCCCTCGTCAAAGAGCTAAGTGGTTTTGGTGATTAGAGAGTATAAACTAACGCACAATAATTTCTATGTACAAAGAAGAAAAGATAATATTTATTAAATATTTATACATAATATATAGGTATTTTTAATATCATTGTAAAACTAATTCATACAATAGTGTGACATTAATCCAAAAAAACTAATTTGATAGGGTCTCTAGTTTTTGTTGAGCAATTGTAAAATAATGCTTTAGATTAAATATCTTGTTTAAATTTATATGAATCTTAGAATTTAGATGCTATTTTAATTTATTTTGGCACTAGAAGCATTTATTTTATCTATGAAGTTTTAGGTTACTAATTAGAATTGTAGTATTGTATTACACCTGCTTAAGTGAAAACTAAAGATTTGAATTTCCTTTAGTTGATTAGCAATAATATATCATTAAGAGAATGTTGTACCCGAATGTGTTGTATCCGTCTTAATGAGACATTACATAGCAAAATATAGGTTCAACAGTTTCAATTGTTTGTGGTTAGCTTAAATGTTAGAGGGAATTGACTTATTACCAAATTTAAAGGTAAGATCTTTATTTTTTTTACAATATTTGAATTTTTATGTGAGTTATAAGTATGTAAAATATTAATACTTATAATTGCTCATAATTCACTTCAAAATTAAAATATAGAAAAAACCAACGAGAGAATATAGATAATGTTCTTACATTCAAGTTTGATAATAGGCGAATTCACTCTAATATTTAAGCTATTAACACAAAGTTGGAACATTAAGGTATATTATGTGTTAGTGAGACGGAGGTCGGAGACCACACATACGGGTACAATGTCCTCTGAACACTGTAACTTTACTAAAATAAATTTCCTTTTTCACAATAATGGCTTCTGTTGATCATTAACAGTATTTTATTTGTTGCCTCTGAACTGAGACTTTTGTGTCTTTTGGACTAAAAATAAATAACTGTTTATAATATAATATAAAAATGTATTGTATAAATTCATAATATATTATAGTACCTATATTATGAGAGTTTACTGTAGACATTGTTTTTGCTAAAAAAATAAATTTTCTTTAAGATTCATGCCAAAAATGATTGGTAACTTTTTACTAATGTGCCCCGTACAGGAAACCGTCACTATTTTACAATATACCAACACTGTAATAAGTATTAGTGTATTTTTAAATATGCAACTTTCTTTTTGTATTCTTTATACACATGTGTTTATTTTTATAGTTACCGGACCACTTACAGAACTACAAATAGCATACATGTGTAGAGAAACACTTAAAGGACTTTCATATTTACATACAGTGGGTAAAATGCATAGAGATATAAAGGTAATTATGCTAACAATAATTTAAATAGTTTTTAAGAGCTTAAAATTCTCATGTATATAATTCATAATGGGTTTTATTTGTATAGTACCTAAATCTGAAAAATGATGTTTATTTAATATTAGTTATTATTGTATATAATTGTAAAAATAATATATTATGTAGTATCTATTAATACATAATATATTTACATATAATATACAATATGTTCCACTTACCACTTATTATTTCAGCTGGGTTACCTCAGATCAAAATAGGATTTTTGGGAGGTTAAAGAGAGTGCTAAAATACTAATTTTAAGAACAAATTTTATACAGATTCGGATAGACAATTAAAAATTTTTTTTATAAAGAGTGTTTTTTTCTAAATTGCAATCATTTCATACTTAGGATATCCCATATTATATTGTTAAATTACTATTTGTTCATAGATAAGATGCATATAAACACTAGTGCTTAATAAATACTAAAATCTAAATAAATAATTTTAGAATGCTTAGTAAGTTGGAATGTTAGTTTTTATAAAATTATGATGAATGTTTAAGAAAAATAAGCATTATAACAGATATTAAGCCTTAATATTCATCTAATTAACTTATTTAATTTTGTTCATGCAGATCGTTTGCTCATGTATGTACGAAATGTGTTAAAATTTTAAAAGTTTCCTATAATGTGTGTTCTGGTATTCTTCCCCCCTCCATGAAAACCGTATTTTGATCTGAGATTATCCAGCTGAAATACATATAGTGGTACCTGTTATTGAGAACACACTGTATAATAAATGTTTAATAATAATAGACATGTAAATATAATAATTATAATCTGTACTTTGCTTCTTCATATTTACTGTGATTTGTGACCAAAGACTGATTATTTATTTAATTTATGTAGATATACCTTATAATTTTTGGAGAATGCTGAAAAATTATTTTATTTAATTAACACTTGATTAAATATTTAAATGTATTATATATTTTTAGGGAGCAAATATATTGTTAACTGAATATGGTGATGTAAAGTTAGCAGATTTTGGGGTTTCTGCTCAAATTACCGCCACAATAAATAAACGCAAATCATTTATTGGTACTCCATATTGGATGGCACCTGAGGTTGGTTTTGTTTGTATTTTGTATTATTGTGTGTTTATAACATTTAAATAAGTTTTATTTCAAAATATTAGTTTTATCCCAAACAAGAATAACAACAGAGTCACAATAAGTTTACCTAATTTACTTGTTCAATTCAATATATATATTAAATGTGTTCTACTTCCAATGTTCTAATAATTGCTTTAGACACATTTTTAAAAAAAATTTTAATTTGTTTTAAAATCTACTTGAGAATAGACTTCCAAAGTTTTGGTTTTAATTTATTCAAAATTGAAGAATTTTATTGATATAACTTTGTTTAGGTATTTGGAAGATAAAATCAAAAATGTGTGAAAATCTACATTAGTTAGATTACAACAATTTGATAAGTTTTCTGAATTCTTAATACTTTGCTCAGTTGTTTGGTTATAATATTGAAAATATAACGAGTCTTAATTTCTATATTGTGATATTTTCTTATACATTATATTATTATTTATATTATTATTTTCTCATAGATCTTATATATATATAAACATTTTTTAATATAAGCTTAATTTATTCATATTCAATTAAAATTATAATATATTCTAATGTATTCTAATATTTTTATTAATTAAAATCTAATTTAGGTAGCAGCTGTAGAGCGTAAAGGTGGCTATAACCAATTATGTGATATCTGGGCAGTTGGAATAACTTCTATTGAGTTAGCTGAATTACAACCACCAATGTTTGACTTGCACCCTATGAGAGCATTATTTTTAATGTCTAAAAGTGGTTTTAAACCTCCGACATTAAAGGACAGAGATAAATGGTAATTTTCTCTTATTTGTTTTCATATAAATAAATATATGTAAATTATAATATTCGGTATGGAATTTTATTATTTTTAGGAGTCCAACATTTCATAATTTTATAAAAATATCACTGACTAAAAATCCAAAAAAAAGACCAACAGCAGACAAGTTATTAATGGTTTGTATAACATGTGTTTTTTATTTAATAACTAAAAAAAAATATTGCCACTTAAAATATATCATAGCTCCTATGAGAACTATAAGTGTTGACTGTTGACTAAAAATAATAGTTGATAAGATAATTCATTTTAAAGTTTTTTTTTTTTTTTTATTAATTAACCCGCGGAAACTTTAGGCATTGAATGGTTTTTACTGTGGGGGAGGGTACTGTAAGTTTTTAAACACATGTGTTTTGGTTTGGCAAATTTTTTAGTGGGCGCCCGTAGGTATCTGCCATGCCTATGTTGGGGATGGCAGCACTTCTCTCCGGACACCGTGATTTGCCCAAATTAAATGCTGCCCGCGGCCGGTATTGAATCAGCGCCTGTGTGCGTCGCAACCGACCCCTTAATCCACTCGACCACTCCGTCCCCCTTTAAAGTTTTGTGCATTTACTTGTCTACTTTATATTAATTTATATCTGTTTTTATTTGCTTAGGTATTTTGTTAAAACTAATAGAGTATATTTTTTATAACTGGTTTTAAAAATTATTTTAATTTCATTGGTTATTATTTTTAAATATCAATAGAGTGATTTATAAAATAATCTTCAAAAAATAACATTGATATAAGTCATATATATTTTGAATACAATTAAGGGGACCCTACACCCTCATGTGTTGTCTCCGTCTTACAAATGTACAACATAGCAAAAACTGTTTTGCTCTAGAAAAAAACGAGATTTTCACCACATAAAAAATAGAACTTTGGCTGTACAACGTTGTTTTTATTTTTTTTTTGTCACTTATATGAAAAAAGCTCTTACTGTTTCAAAAATCATTATTGTTCAAACTTGAAAAACTTTTTTCATATAAATGATATCAAAAAATAAAAAAAACATTGCACAGCCAAAGTTCTTTTTATGTGGTGAAAATCTTGTTTCTTAGTTATGACTGTAGCCTTTTCGGTTCTATCACTCCCAAAACAGTTTTTTTTTATGTTGTAAATTTGTAAGATGGAGACAACACATCCGTGTGTAGCAGCCTCTTAATAAAATATATATACATTTATTTTTAATTTGTTATGATGAGTTATTTTGTTTTAATGTCTAATATAATGCTGAACTATTTTATTTATAGCATTCATTTTTTTGTCAAGATATGAGTAAACGACTTGCTATTGATCTTCTACAAAAAGCAAGTAACCCTACCACTCAATCATTTACAGAAATAGAACCTGATGATGATGTAAGTATAATTAGATAAGAAATCTGAATAAATTAGATATTTATGTTATTATTATTAAATTAGCAATTATGTAATAAGTACAATTTACTTAGAGAACGTTACACCCGCGTGTGATGTCTCAGTCTTACAAATGTACAACATAGCAAAAACTGTTTTGCGCGAGACAACTTTTCTTGCACCATATTTGTTGTAGAACTACCAAATTTTCACAACACGTAAAGAAGTACTTTACCTGTGCAACAGCAGGCTTTTTTTTTTTCAAATAGCACTGCCCAATAATTTTTTATAAGTAAATGGAAAAAACAAAATGTTTAGAAGCAAATAACTCTTATTATATTTATGTTATCTAAAATATTGGCAGGCTGTTGCATAGATAATGTTCTACCATATATGTTCAGAAGTTTTGGAGCTATTACTAAAAATACAGAAAGATAAAATTTGTCTTGCTCGAAACATTTTTTGCTATGTTATACATTTTTAAGACGGAGATAACACATGCGGGTATATCGTCCTCTTAATAAGAATTGCTATGCATTTTCATTGGCATACCTATAAAACATTTTTTTTTTTTTTTTTGTGTGTGTGTGTAAGGGGGGGGTAGTTATTAAATAAATCACTTTAAAACCATTAAAAATCCAAAATTAAATACAATTTATGCTATAAAAAATAACTTTGGAGAGGGGGGGGGGGTAATTCTCCCCTCGGGTACACCATTATGCATGTTGATGTTAAAAGACACTACAGTTCTACACCCACATGTGTTGTCTCTGTTTTACAAGTGCGTTGTAGCAAATGTACGCTCAGCAGATCACGTCTGGCTCTGTTTAAAAATTAGAGTGAATTTCTTTTATGAAACTTGATGGTAAAAAGTAAGAACTTTATCTGTGTTCATATTTTGTTTTTTTTATGATAGTTCAATTTTTCAGCAAGTTACGCGTATTGTATATAATACAGCATAAATTAAAAATACTCAAAACTCATTTAAAAACTGAATAGTTGTAAAAAAAACAACATACAAACACAGATAATGTTCTTACAGATATTTTCATAATAATAGGTCAAGTAACTCTAATTTTTAAACTATGGAGCTAAATGTGATCTGCTGAGCGTAAATTTGCCATGTTAGACACTTGTTAAAAAGCGACAACACATGTGGGTGGGGTGTCTTCTTGAAGTAAGTTATATTAAATGAATGAATAATTTAAACTGGTGTAATAATACTCTAGTATAGTATGGATCCTACGTATAAGGTTAGTTTGGAATTAGATAAGAATCAGTAGAGAGGAATGTAGAAGTGGCAAAAGAGCTGAACGATCTGTTCTGAGCCTGAGAAAAAAAAATAATACTCTGGGTCTAAAATTCTACAAACATATTTTTTGAAGATTTCATAATCTGTAACTTATGAAAGGTTTAAATGAATATAATCCATCATATTTACTAGGTGTGTTTGAGGACAGCAGTGAGACGGAGCAATAGGTTATAGTCAATCAATTTTTTTTTTTTCATTAGCTTAATTCAGTGTCTTTTCAAACTTGCACATTATTATTAACGGTATTGTCTTTGATTACAGGTTTGGAAACCTATGTTATCTATGATATTATAAAAAAATATATATATAATATAATATTTATCTTTTTTTTATGATTATAAACTTGTTAAATTACCGGTTAATCACTATTTAAGATAAATTACTGTTACTTAGTTAATGGCGAATTATACTCAAGACCTACTGCGCAGTAGAGTGGTTACCTCTTTCCACCATTATCTTTTTATAGTCTGATATTTGTAATGAAATTTTTTTTAAAAATTATATTAGGTTATCTCTGATGTTCCCCGGCGTATCGCATCAAGAGCAACTGTTGATCATAGAAGTAAGTTTTTATAAAATATTTTCATATGTTATGTATGAGAAATATTATTATTAATTAAATAGATCTATTACTTCTTAAATAATAGTAATATTTCATTGTGTTTGGTAAACCGTGTTTGTTTAATCGTTTTATTTTTATTATTTTTATCATGTTACTATATTGGAAAATGTCTATTATTAATTATTATGCAATATTTAAATTTTTTAAAAATGTTCATACAAAAGTATGTGATAGATGGTACGAGCTATGCTTTCAATGTTCAATGTGGGCTATTAAATTTAGAAGCTATTTATTTTATGTATATTAAGCTTATTGTTATACAATTTATATCGAAAATGTATTAGGTTTTTATGATAATAGTTAAATGGATTGATGTGTATTGAAAAGGGACAATTTTGACTTGAAAATATAAGTTTCAAACTAGGTATAATAAATAACATTTTAATTTAATATTATATCATCAAATATCTCATTACCCCTTATTATGGTTGTATTAGATTTATGCCTAAGATGTTTTATTTTATCTTTAATTTTATTACAATAGATATTCTTATTAATTTTACATGTGATTATTAGAGCCCAAATTTAAATGCCCCTAACAGTGGCGTATTTAGAAATTTTTCATGGAGGAGGTTAGGTCCGGACCCTGTAGGCCCCTAAATACACCACTGGGTCCCTTTAAGCTATCAAAAACTGTTCTAAAACTAACCAAAAAGTCTCAAATAATCAAATACCCAAAACCCATATAACCGGAATGATTCTATTTTCAAAACACCCAAATAAACTAAAACTCGAATAAAACATTCGAAACCAGAATATTTTTTTTATTTTAGAATCTTCATTTTATATACCATTTTGTATGTATTTTATGTGGTTAGTTTGATTTTGTAGTTAATTATTTGTTTAATAATAACAAGAGTAGGAGTGTAGGACTAGGGGAGCTAAACAATTATAATTTAAAAAAAATACCTAATAAAAATAACTATAAAAAATTTTATTTTTTCTGAACTACTTAACACCCTTATTAACCAATTTTAACCCGAATAATAACGGTTCGTAACATCCAAATTTTTGGTAAATATTTTTTATTCTTGTGTTTGAAGACCAGAATACATGCAATGCCTAAAACCGAAAACCCGAATAAATTAATCGGTGCTAAGCCCTGCTTTCTTAATTAGCCTTTAAAATTTACCCTTATTTTTTTTGTAGGCATGTAAGTAAGAAGAAACTAAGGGTTTAACTTTTGGCATTTTTAACACTTTTATCTTAACTTCTTAACTAAACTATTAATAATACAAAACAATATACCAAACTTTGGCACTCACAATAAATTAACAGTTCACACAAAATAAATGCAGATGTAACTTAAATTGACCAATTTGTTGTTATTTGTTAAAGTATTATACTAATTTACACTAAAGGCTCGTATAATGTGTTAAATGCACTAAAATTAATATAATTACCCTGAAATATGTGAAAAACCAGACATGGTTAAAATGTAATTTGTACAATATATTTTTACATTTTGCAATTTGTATTATAGTGATTCGTATATACATCGTGAATTATTGAACAATGTGATCTGTACAATTTATTTACTGTATATCTGTATGTAAAATAATATAAATATATATTTAAACTGTATTATAAAATTATAATTAATTAATTCAATTTATTTTAACATCTAATATTTAAAGGTTCAAATTTATTGGAAGCAACACATTTACCTCACAACAGTAAAAATGATACACCTACTCTGTTGGAATCTAGAAATTTGGGAATGGTTAATATAAAAAAAAATGTACTAGCAGTGAGTTATAAAAATTGTTATTTAATTTAAATTTTTAATTATTGTGATGTACAATAATGTTTGTATTATTCTTAGCGCAATAATGACTGTGATAATTTTGGAAGATTAGACTGTATTTTGACTGAAAAGTAAGTATTAATCATTAATTTTCAACTGTAGTGAAACTTTCATTTTATTATTAGTAGTCATTAATGCTTGATTAAACCTTATCAATTGAAAAATGCATCAACTCATATGTGATATTAGTTATTTCATATTATTTCATATTAATTTACATTGTGTGTTTGTAATTGTTTTTTAGTAAATGTATTAAATAGTTTATAACTTTAGGAAGATCATTAAATTATAACTGCCACCTTTATATTTTATTTTGTAAATATTCATATGCTTGTGCCTATTATGGACATTTTTACCTCTAAAAGATTTTTCCCATTTTTAGATATTTTCAATAAAATGTTAACACATTAAATATTCTTAAACATTTTAAACAAATTATTTTACTTGTTTACTCTTATTAAATATTAATACTTTAGCGAATGTTGTACCCACATATGTTGTCTTCGTATTACACACATACAACATACAACATTTTTGTTCACCAGTTTCAATAGTATGCTGTAGTTTTGTTAATAGCGTAAATTGACTTATTATCAAACTTTAAGGTAAGAAGATTATCTGTGTTTTCTTATTGGTTTTTTATGATATTTTAATTTTTAAGTGAATTATGAACATTTAAATACTCATAACTTCTTTAGAAATAAGTCAATTCACTCTAATATCAAAACTAACACCATTGAAAGTAGTGAATGGAAATTTGGTAAGCCTTTATAAGCCTCTATGTGTGAAACATAGACAACATAATATGCAGGTGCGACGTTCTGAAGAGCTGTGGTCAGCAACCTTTTTGATGCCAAGGTCAAAAAAAATAAATATAAATTTTCCCTTTTTTTAAAAATAAAATGTATAATACCAAATTTTGTTTATTTAAGTTCATAACTGTTAGGTTTATTAATTTAACAGGGTATCTACTAACAATGTTGTAATCCATAGTTCCTAGTCCATACTATTTTAGTTTGTGGTTTTTATACAAATTATATATTTTAAGGTTGCCGACCCTTGCTTAAGAGGATGTCTGTACACTATTGATATTCCCTCTCTAACCCACATGTTACATCAAATTTTCATTTGGCAGAATATTAGTCTTGTAACTGTTTGCTTTAATAATAGACTGGAATGATCAAACTTAAATTTAAGAACATTTTCTGTATTTTCAGATTGTTTTATTTTACAATATTTTCATTTTTATGCAAGTTATTATGAGTATTTAATATAAAACAAATTTAAAAATACTCATATTACAGAAAAGTTGAAATATTATATAAATAAAAATCAACGTACGAAGTATTAGCTCATATTATTATTATTCCATTCTAAATTTTGATAATCCGCAAATTCACTCTAATATTAGTCGTCAATACATTACAGGATTTGTTCTACTGAATGCAAATTGGCTATTTTGAGGAACAAACAAATAGTGCGATAATATTCTCTTTATTATTATACTTAATCTCCATACACATGAATCATGATATACTTACCAATTTTATATAACCTGTTTTTTTTTTTATTAAAATGCAGAACAAACTTAAATATTTTAATATATAAATTACTTTTCTCATTTTAAACTCTTGTTTTAACATCTAGTTATTTGAATTTGTTAAATCTGAAATGACATTCACCACAATTTTCCGTATTTTATGTATAACATTTTCTGTTATTTCTTATTCACCGATATAGATTTTAATATTTTGCAACACTCCGATAATATAGAACTAACCTCAAAATGATATCCTATGTTATCTTCTTCAGATTAAATATGATTTTTTTCATTAAAATATCTTCAATGTTTTCATTATAGTCTATTTTTGAAACCAGTGTTTCCCAACCTATGGGCTGCGACCCAATGTTAGGTCTCAGTATATTTATCATGGATCGCTGTTGTAAACGAATAATAGTAAAAATTAACAAATGTATTTGAATTTAAAAATAACCTATATATACATTTTCATAAGTTAGTGCTTATAGTGATTTATAAGGCATACTATTTTGTTACTTGAGCAAACTGGGATTGATCTTTGCTACACATTTCTGCTGTTGAATATTTGATTAATATTGTTACTTTTTGTTGTTTTTACCTTTCACAAAGTATAAATGGTGATTATAATTTAAGAGTTAAAAGAACTTTAAAATAACCTATTTTATTTGCAAATCTAAAAATGGTGAAGAATTTTGTATATAATTATCTTTGTTTGACCAAAATGGTTCTGTCCTATTCATGTGAAATAATATTGAGGTGTCAATGCATTTTAGTCCTAGATCCAAGCTTTTGCAAGTAATTATATATGTTTTACAAGTTATTCACCTTACTAACTCTATTTAGATCTTTCAGAACTATTATTATTTACTAATAATTTAATTTATAAAGTAAGGACTAGTTAACTAAATTAATAAACTTCAGTTATATTCCTATATAATTTGTTCGAAAAGAAACAAAAAAAGGTAAAATATTTTACAAAAAATATTGTAATTTTGAGAGTTTCTATTAGGGCCTGTTGTACAATCTTAATATATTTGTATTTACAACAAATTCTTAAAATTTATTAGAGTCATTTAATTTCTACAGGAGTCTTCTGCAAAACATAGATGAAGAACTTAAACTGAGGTATGAAACCCTAATAGATCTTTTTTTTTTTTTTAACTTCGCACAATTAATATAATTGGATCGATCAATTAAGATATATTATATCATGTCATCACATTGCCAGTAAAAATTATTTGGCCTTGGTGTCGTTGATTTTGATCCACTAAATTTATGCTTAAATCAAATTTCATTGGAAATGAATGTAATTTTTTTTCTTAAATATTTATGTACTTTTTATTATATATAAATTTTGTATAATATTACACTATAATGCTGCTTTGCTTAACTAATATTTTTGAACTACCACAGTAATACATATTGTGAGCTTTTGGGCGTATTTTGCTTGATTGTTTGGTTTGTTACTTGTCAAGGGTATCCTGTATATAAGAGAGAATATTAATTTAAAGAACATTGTACAGCTGGCCCTTACTTATAACTATATTTTTTTGTAAAATCTTTTTAAATAACTAATTATTTTACTAATTAATATATTTTTATTAGGGGAGATTATAGTCGTGTTTTCAATGAAGATAGGAATGGGAGTTATGAAGATTTGTAAGTATGAATATCTTATGGGTACCAATATTTTATGTAATATTAAACTCTGTATACAGAATTAATTAGCACTTCTAGTTAGTGTTTTTAAAGTTACACTATAGTACATAAATACAGTATATAAATATAATATTAAATATTAAAAGTATTTACTTTATTAATAATCATAAAATATAGTTTGATGCTACTGGAGAAATTGTTTATTTAACTTTAGGTGAAATCTTATACTTTTGTTTATTTTTGTTTTTAAATTTACTTAATATTTACAAAAATGTTTTTCAGATCTACTTTACCATTGTCTGAAAAATGCTCCGTGCCACATTCATCTAGTCAAAAATGTAATTTTCCTAATAAAGGCTGTGTGTACCAAAATTTAAGAGGTATTGAAAACAAATAATTATTCATTCAATTTATAGTGATTATCATAAAATTGATTTGTTATAATGTCCATTGTAATGATAATTGTTGAATCCAGTATCTTTTGTTGTACAATTTAGTATTTAAAATAATTTAAAAATTATAATCTATAATTCATTGATGGTCTTATATATTATATAACATATAAGACCATCAATGTCTGTCCCGGTGTCCTTTATGCATTCCTAAATCGTTCATCCGATTGCAATGAAATTTGGTACAGAGATAGATTAGATCTTGGGGAAGGAGATAAGAGATCCAACCTGAGAGGTTCTCAAACAAGGGATTTAAACAGGGGTCTTGAGTTCGATCCACGGCTTACATAGACAAACCGTTTGCATTGTTTTTTATACATTTTTGTTTATAAATGGTTGATATTGGTTTTAATAATTATAATTTTACTAATTAATAGTTATTATAATTTCACTAGTTAATACTAATGTTCTTACTATAGGTAGTTATTAATTTCTTATTGATAAATATATCCTCTATTCAATTTTTGTATTAAATATCTAAAAAATATCTAAAATAGACTGTTATTAATTTTGTTTTTGAAAAATATATATTTTTTTGCTTGCCAACATCAATCATTCTCTCAATGATCAACACTGAGTTATGTAAATGGGAAAATTTATACTTTACATCAATAATACTTTTTATTTAACTAAGAAAATAATACATCAATAATAATGAAAAAAAGACTGTTATGTCTAGTTGCTGTTTTACTCAAATTTATGAATTAATATGTACACTTGTGTCATTTAGATTCCTTTATATATTAATTATAATCTAACTTATAATAAAAACTTGCATCATGTTATTTACTTTTTTTAAGGAATAGTAATTATTTAAGATTATGCCAGTGATAATTGTATTTTAAAATAATACTTACTGTTGTCCATTTGTTAATTCTACTGTTTGTAATAATTGCGATGAGATAATATGCCAATCTTAGTGGATAATAAAAACATTTATAATTAGTGTTTTGTAAATAACATTGATACATATTTTTAAAATATTTATTAAACTTACTTTTTAGATAGTTCTTCACCTTCTAGACGACATAGCTCTCTTGATGAAATTATTGCATTACCAACATCTAATGTTACTGTAAATGGACGTCAACGTTCATTTAGCGACAGTGGAGGTAAATAAAAAATGGTTATTTGCTTTTAATATTAAATTCACTAGTTTAATATTATGGTTGAATAGGAGAAGGTCCTGAACCAGATTTATTAGCTGATACACCTCCAGTACCACCACGTCGGTCAAAACAACGTAATTCTCCTCCAAAACCAATTAGTAATGGCCTACCACCTACGCCCAAAGTGCACATGGGTGCTTGTTTTTCCAAGGTATTTAATTTAAGCTGACTAACATTAGGTATACAGCATTAGCTAACATTCATTCTTTATTAACAGAAGCATATCTCATCTGTTGTTCATAAGATTATTTTAGTTAAATAACTTGTATTTGTAACCTTTACATTGTTGAACTTATATATACTCTAAAATATATTTTTCTGAGTAACAACTTTTTGAATAATTTGTTCATTTAGGTATTTAATGGATGCCCTCTAACAATTTATTGTACGGCTAGTTGGATTCATCCTGAAACTAGAGATCAGCATGTATTTATTGGAGCCGAAGAAGGAATCTACAATCTTAATCTAAACGAACTACATGAAACTGCTATTGATCAGTTGTATAATAGACGTACAATTTGGTTGTATGTTATAAAGGATATTCTAATGTCCTTATCAGGTAAAACATTTAACAATAATGTATAGATATTATTTATTAACTTAAACTTTGTTCAGGAAAAACCACCCAGTTGTTTAGGCATGATCTCTTAGCCCTTCATGGTAAACAAAGTCATAGGTTTTCACAGCATATGACCAGAATTCCTGAACGATTAATGCCTAGAAGGTTTGCACTAACTACAAAAGTACCAGATACCAAAGGTTGTATAAAATGTTGTGTTGGACGTAATCCATACAACGGTTATAAATATTTATGTGGAGCCATGTCCAGTGGGATTTTTTTAATGCAATGGTATGATCCACTTAACAAGTTCATGTTGTTAAAGGTAAAATTAATAGTTTAACTGTACTAACATTTAGTATGTGCTCGATGTAATAAAATGTTATTTTAATTATTGATTGTAGCATTTTGAATGTAATTTACCATCACCTTTAAACGTTTTTGAAATGGTCATAACGCCTGAATTAGAATATCCACTCGTTTGTGTTGGTGTGAAAAAACCAATTGGACCTATTAGAAAGTCTATGAATTTGAAATTAGAATTGATCAATGTCAATACTGGTGCATGTTGGTTTTGTTCTGGTGAAACAGATGATTCTGATAATACTGGTTAGTATCATTAGACTAATATTTGTTTATTTTTTAATTCTGTTCTAATATTTTATGGAAATAATAATTGATTATCCAAATTACTTTATATGATTGATATTTTTTAGTAAAATATAATATGTACTGTTTAAATAGTTACAATTAATTTTTATCTTTTTGTTGTTGTAGGCACAGTTATTCAAAGAAGAGATATTATGGATGTTGTATGTGTTTGCCAGTTGGATACAGATTCATTTTTAATATGCTACAAGAGTATGTATAGTTGTATATTATATATCTTTAGTTATTGAACAATATTATATTTTATATTATAGTCAATTTATTTATGAGAGAAAAAAGTAAAAAAACGGTAAAAATAAATTTTAACAAATTTTTCTAAATACACCCCATACAAAATATCAATTAAAATTAGTAACCATTATACCGTAATGTATAATATTTTATTGAAAAACATCACTAAATAGTAAATACACTTATAAATTATAAAATCATATAATTTTCTGTGACTAATTTCCGTATGCATAGTCAATTTGTGTGTCACATAAACTGACTATACATACGGGCCCAAGTGATAATTCAATTTTATTTTTATACATATAAAATATAAATACTTCAGCAAAAGAAATATGTTAAACAAATGTAGCTTATTATTTGAATTATAGTAGAATTGAAAAAATAATTATCATGATGATTAATGATTACAAAAAATTATTCATTTTTATATTTCAGATGTTGTAAAAATAATTAACTTACATGGGAACCTGAAGCAAGATAGAAATCAAATAAATCAGCTCTATTTTGATTTCACTGTAGAATCAATAGGTTAGTTAATTTGTTGATTAGTATACATCATATTAATAAATTATACTTAGTAAATATGTTCCACTAAATGTATATATTTTGTGTTTACAGTTCGATTGTCTGACAGCATTTTGGCATTTCATAAAAATGGTGTCCAAGGACGTAGTCTTAAAAATGGTGAAGTCACCCAAGAAATAGTTGATAAAAGTAGAACCTATCGTCTTTTGGGTTCTGATAAGTATGTGGTTCTAATTCACAAAATTATGTAATATACTAACTGTATAGTCCTGGGATAATTTATGAAACCGAAATGGGGATAATCCACCAGCAGTGCATAGTAATTAACTTTTTTTTCTTATGTGTACCCAATTGCAAGCAGGAATAAAGTAATATGCAGTTATGATTTTAATATTATTAATTGCAGGTAAGCCTAAGATAGCTGGTTCAATCTATAATCTTAACTATCCTTGAATAGCTATAATTGGTGGAATATATTTTGATTCTATATAAGGCCTAGTAGTTTTTAATTCTACATAATATACAAACATTCATTATTATAATATACTAGATTTAGATATTATACGAGATGATTAGTTGAAGCATAAATCCGTTTATTGGGAAGTATATTTTATTTCTTGTTATTTTGTATTAATTCAATATCTATATTCTATATATTTTTGATATGACACCAATCAAATTATGATACTATGACAATAGTAATAATATTCTTAATTAGTTGTACAATTTTTATTAGAATACTAATGAAATTGTGATACATTTTTCACTCAAGTATAACAAATGTTGGTTGTACCATGTTTTGTTCATTATTTTCCTACAAAAATGAATGGCAGACTTATAAAATTAGTCTAGTCTCTAAATCTGTAATGTATTAATTTTTGATAGATGAGATACTTCATAGAACTTCTATAACACTCAATTTAAAATTAAATCATCAGGTACACAAAAAAATTCTGAGCGTAATTTGTAATATTCATTTAATGTCTAAATGTGTACATAATATGTTTGTGTGGCCAGATTATATTTTATGAAATCTGGGACGACTAATTTCAAATTGGCCTAATCAATACCTTATTTTATCTTACTTTTTATGTTTTAATTGTATTATATCTGGGTCTGTATATGATAACATTACTATTAATCAACAAATCATTAATCAATATAAATCAACCAAAAAAATTTAAATTATTTTACTTGATTACAAAAAAGTCCTGTTAAATTCTACGTTGATGGTCAAATCCGATAACAGCACCAACGGGTAAAGACATTTTTTGAGATGCTGGGACATGAGTTTCTATACATTATCATAATAGACAATAATTTAGCGAATGTTTATTTAATAACCTATCGTATGTATAATGTTTTTATTATTATTATTATTATTATTATTATAGAATTCTGATATTGGAATCGCACATGGTTTCCAAAAAAGCTGATGATGGCGCAGACTTGTACATCCTAGCTGGTCATGAAGCCAGTTATTAAAATATATTATTATTAAATAGACATTATGAATATTATTATTTTTTTTTTAATAATTGTAATTATACGGTATATACGTCCACTTTACACGGAGAGACTTTACAAGTTAATTTCTGTTATGATACATTGTCAAACATATTCCACTATTATATTATTATGTTAGTAATCGCTTTTAATATCTACCGACGTCCAATTATAAAATGTATGTTAATTATGTATAATTTTATATTATATAATATATTATAAACATCTACACACACACACATCTACACACACACATAGGCACATCATGTCTGTATCTTTATGTTATACTCTATAAATTTTAGGCAAATTAATTAAGTACCTACAAGGTTGTTTAACAATTACTCAAAAGACTAGATTTTATTGGCCTCATAATATTTCAATCAAAGCAATAAAATATTTTAATAATTTTACAAATAATATTTTAGAAATTTAAATATTTTAATAGAAGATTATATTATTTGTTGTTGTTGTTTAAATCAAATCTAATGTTCTATTAAGAAAGTACAAAATAAAAATATCAAAATAGTTTGGATTTGTTCAGAGAAAAAATTAAAAAATATCTATACAATAAATGTATTTTTAAACAAAAGTCTTTTATTATGTTTGTTTTATCATAAACTTATATACATCTAAAGATTTGGTAAATTTTTAGTAGAATTTCAACCAGTGGCTCAACTAGATTCTTGTGGGCCTTAAGTCAAATATAAAATGGGGCCCCCTATTCAAAAATGTAAATGGTCTAAAACAATAAACAATCCAAGGTACACGGAACACCGCTTTCTCCCCTCCCATTAGTTAATCAAAATCATTTTCATCATTAAAGCTGTTTTTTTTTTTTTCGTTTATTTAGACCAATAAGCTTTTTAAATATATATACTTCCAGAAGTCCAATCTTAATTTTGAAAGATATATTATTGAATTCCTTATTCTCTTTTATAGGTGATGGAGTAAATTGGGTTTTCGATTTAAAACCCGAAATATTGTACATAGGTTTTAAATAAAAAATTACATTTGTTTAGATACAGACTATGCTCCTTTAATTACCATATCTGATTTGAAACCTTCAGTAAATGAAAATATAGCAAACAGAGAAGAAAAGATTTTAAAACTCAAAAATCATATTGATGGAATTGTATACAGGAAAGGAGATGGGATACCATGATATGTCTGAAAATGCAACATTTGAGTTTGTTGTTTATTATATCTTGCTAGGTAAATTAGGTAATTAATTGTGTTCATTTACAAGTTGATGAAACACTTAGGTATTACATTTTAATTTTTAAGATAATTGGAGCATCGGTTTTGTAAAAAAAACCAAGTGTCGTTTAGGTTTATCAGTGCTTAAAACTGATGATTATGACTACGATTTTACCTGGAGCTCAACTTGTAAATTTGAAGATATTTTCTGGATTTTATGTCTGGAGCCTCCCCTGTTAAAATGTACCTTTTTTTAATGCACATTATAAAGTTTGAAATAAAAATGTTGAGAAATTGAGTTCATTGTGAGCCATATGTGTACCATAGGTACTTATACCATATTTAGTACCATAAGTATTTTACTAAAAAATAATCATACTCTAGGATACATGAGAGTTACTCTTAAAGCATGTTTTTAAACGAAAAACACACTAGCCCTTTGGTATGGTATTTAGTATTTACTTATTGTGTCTACGGGATAGTGATCATGCTACTGCTTGAGAAAGTTATAGTAGGTATAACACTTTTGAAAGGGACAAAAATGTATTGTTCCGTATCCAGTATTATTATTCGTGTCAGAGAGATATGGGTATACCAAACTATTAGCTATCTCTTTCTAACAATAAAGGTCCCGCGGTGGACGGTGTATGTTGGACAACCGACGAGCAGCACATATCTAGGTTAAGTACCTACCTAGTTTAATTGTAGCTTACAAACAAAATAATTGGTTAAAGCACACATTTGGATTGAAGTATTTAAATCCAGAAGATGTATCTGATTGTTTTGTATTTGATTTAATGTCAGATAGCTCGCCAGATAACCATATATATTCAAAATATACAGATTATTTATAAGAAACTTATATACAGAAAATTTCAAAATTTCCTCCAAAAATATATGGGCATGCTTGACAAAAAGTTTATGTCAAACTGGTTTCAAATTACTAACAATTGTGAATCGTTTCATTCACTCTTTAATCAAATATAAGTATTTTTTTAAACATTTTAGTTGAAAATGTCCAGACTGACAGTTGTATTATAATAAATAGCACTAATTTGATTATTTCAAATACACCGAAAAATAAATCCACTTTGTTAAAATGCGCTAGGACTAGTAACGGATTTTAAAAATAAAATAATATCACTACTCATAACTCATAATATGTAAAGAGTGCTGAATTGAATTACCTATGTTAAATAAATTAAAAATATATTATGACTTTTTAACTATTTTAATTATTATATTTATAGATTATATTAATGGATGTAGGGTATCTAGCGGCGACCCATGAGAGGTAGCGGAATATCAGATCATTTCATTATGATAACCAAAGTCAGGTTTAGACTATCAATAAAATGGAAATAGCGAGAGCCGAAAAGCACCTTTCAAAAAGGTAAACATTGAACCACTAAAGAATTCTCAGACGGCAGAACAATACAAAAATAGGTTAAATTATATACTGTGATCAGCGGTAGAGGAGAGCAGTATAGATGAGATGTGGGACAAAACTATTATTTTTAAATACTTTGAAATTTGAGTTGTATCCACAAAAGAAAATTAATATTTGTGAAATGGAAAATTAATTATCTATTGCATTTTGTGGTGGGTAGTAAGTCAGTAATTTCACACCTGTCTTTCCTATTAAAAAATATCCCGCTCGTGTAACCTATACTCCATGCAATCTGCAAGTTGCGATAGAACGATACAAACAATTTATATACAATTTAAATGGCATAGAATGTATACAACTCGATTCAAAGCTATTAAATGGTTATACAAACTTATTCTAGCTCGTACCTAGCTCGTATAGAACTCTATAATAGGTACATACCATATATTAAATTAAAACAATAAAATAGTATCGCGTATTGTGTGTAAACTAGTAATAAAACTACAGCAACATGTACCAACATGTCACATACACTACATATTATTAACTTGCTATTTCACAATATGCAGACTATAAATACTATAACGTATGCATATATAGATGCCGAGATAGGTACAAATTCACAACGCCAGATTAGACATGTCCAGAGGTACATATCATTTTTAATTTCGTACATGTATCATCTAATATCGTACTGAGTACCTAGGTATATATTGTATATTCTAGACTCAAATACTCAATGCTAATATATTGGAACACTTGAATTTAATGTAATAATATATTAAAATTTAAATACTAAATAGTACCTAGGTATACTGCAAAATAATATTTTATTCTAAAGTTGCAGTTAAAAACATGTAATTTATTACCTACATAGTACATATATTAAAATAATAATAGTTAAAATGTGGACAATTGGGTAGGTAGGTAGGTACCGTACAGTAGTTGTCGTGTATGTCATTGTAATGGATGTGTTATATATTTTAAATTTAATTATAAACCATTGCATATACGAAAGATACGATTCTGAGCGGAAACTTTGTGTCATCCTATAGCGTAAAAATTCGCGTTTTTCCTTAATTTTTCTTTTGTTTTTCTTGGCGCTTTTGAAAATTACTGGTAAAATTAAAATGTTGACCTCCTCAATGCACCAACGATATCCACTTTCCAATCGAAATGATACTGAAGTTGAAAATCGAAGCATTATTTCGACTACTTATGGTGTACACAGACACAAAAAAAAAATAATAATAAAAAAAACACACTTTATTGTAAAAAAAATACATTCATCCTTCCACTCAGAATCTAAAATTAACTATAGCCTGATAGACTGTCATTGTCATAGGTATTCAAATGTTTATTGAAAAATTGTATTTAACAATATTATAAAATTCATGTTAAATACCTACTTGAAAAAGTATATGAATAAGCACTAAATTTTTCTTTATAACATAAGCCCTTTAAACCTACTCACCTACCTATGTAATTTGGCTCAAATAAAAATACAGTACTTACCTATTTTAATTTTGGACTTTTTTTTTTTTTTTTTTTGGAATGGAAAAAACTTCTTTGAAGAATCTTTTCAAAAATTGCGTTGTCTTATTGGCGACAAACTAATAATTAATATTAATTATTAAAAGTCGAATTAATATCAGGGATTTTATAAATAAATGATGTATCTACCTAGTACCTATTGATTATTATTACCTCAATACTACCGTTTGATTTATACTCGAATTTATTTTACTGAGATTATAATATTAATATTATGTTGTGGTAGGTACTCAATTTATTTCTTACCTATATTATTTCCAAGAGGTAAAATTATTGTAATATCATATACACTATTTACTTACCAGTTACCTATCTACTATAGATACCGTATACCTACCTATATATTTACAGTAGGTATGTATTCTGGGTACAAGTATGGCTTCTTATGTAGGTACTATATTTTTAGGTATTGAGCGAAACTACTTGTAATTCATAGTTAATAGATAATACAAATACCTACTTAAGCAGGAGCATAAATAACATTCAAAATTTCTATCGAAATCCATCAACAACTATAATAATATAATGTTATTATACATATGTTATGGATGTGTACCTATCTACATATCGGTATTGCTCACAGTTATTTAAATATTTAATAAATCACTATCAATGTAGAATAATAATGAGTACCTAGGCATCTGGTACCTATACTGTATGATGTCTTTATCCCACAGACCGATACTTAAATGGTCACTGTTATTTATTCGTTTATTCTTAAAAATGTAAAAATAAAACCGATGCGAAAATAAAAGGTATAGACGGTGCCAAACCGCCGAGGGATATTATATTATGCAATATAAATTAGCAAATCGATATGGCTATGAATTACGTTCCG